TATAAATTAAATATAATTCTTTGAACGATGAATTACAAATTATTTCAATTAAATCATACATTAACAAATAACACGGAAGACATTCTCTTAGAATTCATTCTTAAGTCCCTCTTTCATGCTACTAAAGGTACAAGGCAATTAAAAAAATAGTAACAAAATAAAACTTTAATCTCGAACAATCATGTTATCTAACTAACCCGAGGTAAAAGACAATTTTCTTCGGGTTGAAGAAACTCTGTTACAACTGCTGATACCATTTCATCGAGTGTGCCTTTTAAAGTTTCGATATTTCTAAAAATATAATTATGTCAAGTTGTTAAACTCAGAATAAAACTATATATTCCATTTATTTCAAATACAAGCAACTTACTGTTCCTCAGGAGATGCACAGAGTTCGCTGTAATATTTAATTTTCGGTTCAGTACCACTAGTTCTTAGCGTTATAACTAAGCCGTTTTTAAATGTAAACGTTATCATTTGACTAGATTTTGTAACGGGTAAAGTAGCTTTATTATCCGGCTGTGTATTGTCATAACCAGTTGTGAGATCACGCACTCCTATTATGGAATATTTTCCACCGAGGATATTTGTTGGATACTAAGAAAGAATGTTTAATATTAAAATAATAATGATTTTGTTTTTATATCTGTGCATATCTATATATCTATATCTTCATCTCTTACCGTATTTGGTTTACTAGCAAAATTTCGCAGTCTTTCAAATATTTTCTTAATTACATCTTGTTCATAGCAAATCCAATACGAATTATTAGAAATGTGATGTCCATATCTAGATAACATTTTTTTATTACAGAAGATTATTATGCATAAATAACGCAATAAAATATTTTAATAATTATTAAATTGAATGTAACATACTGAGCATAAATTTCTTGTAATTTATCGTACAAAGTGAGCCCCATGGTTTCGAGATAAGCAGCTAATTCCGCTACATGCATTCCAGCACTTATCCCATCTTTGTCGAGAACTTTTGATCCACACATAAAACCAATAGCTTCTTCATATGCAAATATAACTTCTTTCCCTGCTTTCTTTAATTCTACAGTTCTATTGCCCATCCATTTAAAACCTGTTAAAGTTTCCTTTTGAAACAAGAGAAAACTTATAATAATAACAGTAGTAGAAACAATTTCATTTCATTCTCATCACGCATACCTCATAATTGAATCCTTCCTGTTTAGCCATTGATCCTAATATTTTGCTTGAAACTGTTGATGCCATCATGTATACATCTGAAAAGTCTGTATCAGCATGTTGAACTTGATACTTGTGCAGCATCCACCATCCTAAGAGTGCTCCTAATTCATTGCCAGAGAAAATATGCCATTCATCACTGATAAGAAGGAATACGGGCATGTTAAAAAGAATGCACAACTTTCTTCTATGTAGACAGATATTACCGAATATTTGAAACTACGAACTTTTTCAGTTTTGTAGCACAAGCTAGTCTATCTGCATCTGGATCATTAGCAAGAATTATGGACGACGAATTCTTATTTGCTATTTTTATACTAAGATCCAAAGCGCTTTTTCCTTCTTCCGGATTTGGAAATTTAACCGTAGAAAATTCTGGATCAGGTAACTTCTGTTCCTCAACTACTATGAATGGCTGTAATGTATTCAAACAATATTAAGTCGTTATAGTCACAGTGGTGTACAACACTTAAGAAACTTAGAACAATACCTTTAAATTTGCAGCATTAAAAGCTGCAGTCATGTATTCATATCCAACACCATGCATTGGAGTATAAGTATATTTTAATATTGTATTTTTGTTAACCTCTGGATACAAAACGGTCTCTTTGAGATCAGTAAAGTAAGATTGCACAATGTCACTCCATGGATCTAAATATAATGAACTGTTATAGACCTTCGCTACGTTCCATGATGAATCTAATGGTTCAAGATTTTTCAGTATGTTCCTTTGGATCTCTTTATCATGTGGCGAAATTATTTGAGCACCATTTTCCCAATAAACCTTATAACCATTATCATCTTTAGGATTGTGAGAAGCTGTGATCATTATTCCAGCTGCACATTTATATTTCAATATACCGTAGGGTATAAATGGAGTTGGAACAACTTTTGAGAAAAGGTATACTTTCACATTCTTAGCCAAAAAAATTGCAGCTGTCAGTTCTGCAAATCTAAAATGGTATTGTAGAATTACGTTTCATACACGCCAATCTAATAGTTGGTAATAATAAGTAAATACAATAAAATATCCTTATTGACCTTTTACTATGATGACGTCCATCATATCCTATTATGACACCCTTTTCATTAGGATTACTAATACTATTCAATATATATGATGATAAGCCTTGGCCAGTTTGAACTATAACTAAATCATTCATTTGGCTATATCCTGGTCCCATCCGACCTCTTAAACCAGCAGTACCAAATTCCAGTCTTTTTAAAAATAAATTAGACAAAACTTTATTATCATTGCTAAGTATTAATTCTTGAACTTCACGCTCGGCGGTTACATCCTAGAATATACAACAATTGTATTTTATATACTTGACAAAAGTATTTGTGAAGTGCAGATGGTAGAAGAATGAAAACCTTATTCCATTTCAACCATTCAGTAATCTTCCCCTCTAGATCAGCGTTTCCAGTATCACCAGAAAACTTTACAGCCATATTAAGGCTATTTCCCAGTACAGAGTAACCTAGGACATAATACAAAATTTTATTACATCTGGAACAATTATTTGCTACAAAAAAGTAAATGAACCATACTGAATTTTTTAATACATAGATGGGAACCACAACAGAATCACAACGATGAAACAGAATCATCAACGATCCCACAGTGATTGATTGCAATTGTTAAATAACTAATATCGTACTACCATTTCTGCCAGATTAAGTTCAAACAAAAATTCAATATTTCATTCACAATTGCATACAGGTAATAGCTGATAATAGTATATTAAGAATTAAGGAATTATTACATGAGTCAAAGATGTACTTGTTCATGGAATGCGGATTTTTATCTAAAATGACACGAAATGTAGACTGAGATTTCTTTTACCATTTAAAACTAATGATATGTATTATACTTTTGATATTCAGTTTTCGTTTTTACATTAAATCTATCTATAAATGCATAAAATCCACAGTTTTCCTACCTATTATAACGTGTATAAATGAAAGTTCGATGTATATGTAGTTAAAATAAATGTTGATATCAATCGTAAATAATTACAATACTCACTCGTGAAACAAAATATTTTTCAAATAAAAGGTGAAATAGATGGTAATGATGGTATACAGTGAAAATTTGAGAAGCGGCAGTCACGATAGACTGATATCTCGTATGATGGATTGGGAACGATAAGCTTTATGGATATGGATATGGATCACCTAACCTATTATCAGTGCATCACACTGGTATCACACCGGTAAGGTGACGTAAGTCAAGTGGATGGTGCTGTCAATTCGAATTCTAGACAAACTTTTGTTGAACAGTATTTTACATATTTTCAGTTGACTTGTACGATAATTGTGTAAAATGAGTTGCCTTTAATTCGCCGAAACATTATTGTGCTACAAACAGTGATTTTAACACGCGTAGAGTACGTATAATAGATTGAAAATTGCATTAGGTTATTTTGTTTGTTACTTCTCGAGAAACATATGCGACGAAATTCTATAAGTTTCTCAACTTTTAATTATTATTTGACCTCGTACTTTGTCATTATCAACACTACTTACGTTTTAAAGTAACGGAAGTTAATACTGAAATTAATCAGGTTGTCATTAATTGACTGCATTAATTTGTTATTAGCAATTTATATAATTTTTTCAGTATGCATGAAATTCATGGATCATTAACTTAGTTTTGAAAAACAAAACAATGAGAAAGGTTGTCCAAAGAATACTTTGGAATGAATGCAAGGCCTATCATATGGAAGTACTCAAGACGCAACGGTTTTTTATAAAAGTACTATGAATATAGATTAAAAGTATTCCGTGAATAACAGGTATTTTTATTTGTCACTTGCCATTACGCCCAATTATTTAATTTTAAATAGTTGATCATTGATGCATTCTTTTTTACAGATATCAATTTGAATATTAATTATGTTAGTTGCCTCATAGACAATACTCTTATAAGATGGATATTGGCATTGTTAAAATTGCTGAAGATAAAGATTTTGAGAAATTAAAACACTTGTACGATGATAATAATGACTGGAGATTAGATTATAACAAACCTGATTTGTCAGTTTGGACAAAATCAGTACGTGGAATTAGTTTTAGAATGGTAAAAGTATGTGATATATTTTGCTTATAACCGAATTTTTCATTTCGTAACAAACATTTAATTGTATTAGCTATAATGTTGTACAGATTAGAACTCGTTTTCCTGATGTCCTGCCAGGAACTTTATATGATGTATTACACGATCCTGAATATAGAAAAGTTTGGGACACTCACATGATCGAATCAAAAGACATAGGCTTTTTTAATCCCAACAATGACATTGGTTATTACTCAAGTAAGTATAATGGTCAGTTTCTTTCTAGTATTTAGATAAACGTATATAAAAATACTTATATTCATGTATATTTATTTATATCAATCAGTGGCCTGTCCATCTCCATTGAAAAACAGGGATTTTGTTCTGCAAAGATCATGGCTTGATACTGGTATAGAACAATTAATTCTGAATCATTCTGTTTATCATAAAGATTATCCGCCGAAAAAACCATTTGTGCGGGCAACATCTTATCTTACTGGTAAAGTAAACAATCAGAATCTGGCTAAGCAGTCCGGTTTTTATTGATGTTCTGTTCAAATTTAAGGATACATTGTGAGACCATCTAGAAATGGAGACGGTTCTGAACTGGGCTATGTATCTCATACTGATCCACATGGAAAATTACCTGTTTGGTTGGTTAATAAAGTTACACAAATATTTGCCCCAAGAGTACGCAGGTTTACCATTTTTAATGAAGGTTAAACATTTTTATTTTTCACTTATTTAAACTATATTTTTTCAGATGGTTAAGAAATTACATAAAGCTTCTGTGGCTTATCCTAGCTGGAAATTGGTTAATAATCCTAATTATAAACCTTGGCACTTTCCTGAACAGATTGCATCGCCGCGAATAAAAGTTGAAGATGTGAGTATTAATTTAAGTGATAATTTTGAGAGAAGAGAAAAACACATTTCGTAGTAAAAAGATGTCTTCAATTTTAATTATTTAATTACTATGAATTGTTATATGTAGTGTATAAAATCTGCGGAAGAAAGGAATTCGAAGAATCATTTTGTTGATGAATCTGAATTAAAGGAGTCTGCTGCTATGGACAGTGATTAGCTTCTTTTAGCAAGGTATATGTTTATACTGTTAACATTGACAAACAATATAATAGTTCAAGTTATTTATGAAAAACAGTATTACAGAAATTCATAGCAACACACGACAAAGTCTGATAAGAGTTTATTTGTCACGTGTGCATGTGTATATAACTATATTAGTATATGTGGGATATATACACATTTTCACAAATTATATTTCCTCTGTTGTACTAGTATGTAATGGCATCGTACTTACTGTTATACATAATGGAGCTTAAATGACAGTATGATTAATAGGAGTATATTATGGCCTATAACGTGTTACATAAATGCTAGTCATCACTTCGTTATCGAATCTAGAAGATATATATGTTATTGAAAGTGGAATTTGTTATATGTGATTTAATATAACGCACAATACGCAGGTCGTACTTTTACATTTATGTTTTTTCGCATTCATAAAAAGGATAGTATTAAATATCAGTTTTTGTGAAATGATAAGGACCGCTGAAGGTACAAAACGTTTACATGTTGCCTACATTAAATATTTCTTAAGGTTATTGCATAATATCTTGGTAAATAGACAATGGTTACAGTATTGTGGTACAGCAAGTGTGATCTTAGGAGTATTAGAAAAACTTTCAACTTTGAATACAATAATGGTAATCAAATATTCACA